TCAGAGCTTGCAGGTAAAATGAAAATAATGTGAAAAGTTCATAAAATATCTCATGAAACAGAGTGGAATAATGATTTCAGCCTGTCCCACCCACTTGTGGTTTTAGCACCAAGTTTGAATATAGGAATTAACTGGGTCACACCAATTGTCCATCTAGTCTGGTATCTGTCATCCACACTGATCAATACCAGCTGCTGCAGAGTAAAGTGCAAGAAAACCCATAATGGACAATTATGGAATAAGCTGCCCACAGGGGAATGTTTCTTAACCCTTAGGTAGTACAGTAAAAGCTTTTCATCAATCTGACAGTGTCTGTATGTTCTTTTGAGTCTAATTTTTGGTAGTTTAATATACAGTATATAACTACTAAAAATATGTATATTTGTCTAACATATGTACATATCCCAACTACCATCTTTGCCTTTGTTATAAGGGTATCATTGTCTGTATAGGTTTGATACTGTGAGGGAAGGATGGAGTGGAATAAGGTTTCCTTTTTCTTTTCTTTTTTTTTTGCACTTGGGCCAAGATTTTCAGAAATGGTGCCTCAAGTCAGTGGGACTTATGCAGCTAAATCCCTTAGATACTTTTGAAAATATCACCCTTAAGTAGGCACTTAAATAACTGGCCTAATTGTAAAAGGTGCCACAGGCAGCAGGTGCTCAGCACTCTTAAAAATCAGACTATTTATTTAGGTGTCTAACTATGGACTTGAGTCTAAGTATAGACGCCCATTTTTAAAAATTTTGGCCATAGGTTCTTGCAGATAGAGGTTTAAATGACACTATCATCTCGCTGGTCAGTGAAATCTTTTACCTAAGAGAAACGGATGGTCAACTGTATTATTAATTTCACCCCTCCTTTTAGGATTTGCTCTTGCGCCCTGTCCTGTTCATTTCCTCCTTGTTGGCAGGCAAATACTACACAGTTATTACAAATGTGTGTGAATCACTGATGGCTTGTTCTTTATTTGCATCTATTGGTTAATATAATAATTAAAATCTCAAACAAGAACACGGCAGTGTTCAAATTAACTTTCCGTAATGATCAAACTCTCTCCTTAGCAATTATCTGGGCTGGATAGTTGCAGCGGCTAGAAACAAATGTAGATATGTCACAGCAGGCACATATCTCCATTACACATGTATGCATACATACTAAATAAGCTAAACTTAGCCTCCTCAGAGGAAGTTTATTAGGTAGCATATAAGTAAGAGAATCTCAGTGCAGAAGAATGTAGCATCTGAATAACTGTTTCCTACCACCCGATAAGTTCTGAGGTGAAGATAAGACATTTAATAAAAATAAATGGCAAAGTAAAATCAAGATATATATTTTTTATAGCAGCAGACATTATCCAGTGACAGAATTCGCTTAAATACCTTGGGCAAAATTTATCCTTGGTGTAACTCCACTGAAACCAGTGGCATTGCACCCATAATAAAAGTGGCCCATTATCTCTGTACTCCCAAATGACTCATGTAGATTAAATCATTTTGTCTGAAGGAAATTGGTGTTCAATTTGCCATTATTGATCAATTGCACTCTGAGAACAGATCTGTAGTGTGCATTAATAATAATACCTCACACTTTCATAGGGCCTCCCAGCCAAAGATCTTAAGGTGCGTCACAAATATTAATGAATTAAACGTCTCATCACCCCCCTGTGAGGTAGGTATTATTATTCCCCATTTGACAGATGGGGAAACTGAGGCACAGAGAGGCTAAATGAAGTGCCCATAGTTACACAAGAATCCTGTGACTATGGAATAAAATCCAGGTCCCTTGCTGCCCAGTTCTCTGATTTAATCACACGACTTTCCTTCCTCCTCTTGTCTTACATCAGCCAATCAAAGAAGAACTTATCCATGAAAGCATTTTAAAATATAAAACTGGTTTCTGATTGGCTAAAATTTTATTTTAAAATGCTAATACTCAGAAATGCATTTGATTAAATAAGGAATTACACCTCTATTAAGACTCTGTGGAATATTTCTATAGTTCTTCTTGTATAATAATGATGGTTGGTTTTCATCTCGAACTGCTATTGTGAAATGTATTCTTTACATCAGTGGAACGACACCCTGATCTGTAGCATAGGAAAGAGGTGGGAGACTGGGATATAGGAATATGCCTTCTTTGAGATATTGGTGCATTTCTTGACTTCTGTTTGGTTTTAGCTAGGGATCTTAGGGATATATTTCCTCCTTTATGACAACACAAATCTCTCATTACTGACATACACATGCAGTGAAGGGGGAATATATTTCTTAGTTTGTTTCTTTAATCACTTTCATTTAGATTAAATCTAACATTGAAATGTGTTGCAATTTAAGCAACAATAATTGAGGCACAGGATAAATCCTAGGGATTGATGATAGGCTAGGAAGAGTTTACTCCAGCCAATCACTAAATCCCTGCAGAAAAGTCAAAACTGCTATTGTAAACCGAAAATGTAAAAGCCCAATAAGTATGTAGGGAGTTTTTTCTGTAAGTGGGATTGCTGTTTCATTTGGTATGTGTAGGGTATTGCAAGAGACTTAATGCTCTGTACATTATCTGTACTATTTACATCCTCTCTGTCTACATTCTAGTCAGCTGTATAGTTTAATCCTATTGTTGAGTGATCTTCCAGCTTCAGCACAGAATCATCTGAGTTCAGGTCTGACCACCCTGGTATGCACCAACTTGCCACCCAGATGCTCTGATTAATGACATCACTTCCACAGCTCAGCATGCTTGGGCATTTTCCTTAAGAAATAAGGAAAGATTAAATGTGACCTGTTGCAATTTTGTACAAAATTCTATATCTTCCTCTCAGCATTACTAGCAAAGGAAGAGGAGACAACACTGTGTGAAGCATGGAATGCCATTTACAGAAGCACGCGACTGGTCTCTTGAGCAGCTACTAAAGAATAATTTAGACTTTTATGCCAGTTACCAGAGTCCAGCTCATGAAATATGACAGTGCTACTTATGGCCACATTTGTCTTTAAAATGGAGGTGCACCTATAGAGACAACGAGTTCCAGCATGCAACTTCCCTCTTGCTCCAAAAGGCCTAAACAATAGGGCAAGTATAGAGTATAGCTGCTCTGTTGGAGAGAGAGTGCACTGCATGCTGGGAAGTATTTTCTCTGTGGGCTGCACTTTTCTGTTAGAAATAAAGGCAGCCCTTGAGTTCCTGGAGAGGTGCCAGACTTCCCCCTACACTGTTCTCTGCTTTGAGCTATGAATAGGGCCCTACTAAATTCAAGGTCCATTTTGGTCAATTTCATGGTCATAGGATTTTAAAAATCATAAATTTCATGATTTCAGCTACTTAAATCTGAAATTTCATGATGTTGTAATTGTAGGGGTCCTGACCCAAAAAGGTGTGTGTCTGGGGGGGGACAGGGACGGTTGCAAGGTTATTGGAGGGGGGGTTGTGATACTGCTACCCTTACTTCTGTGCTGCTGCTGATGGCGGCGCTGCCTTCAGAGCTGGGCACCTGGAGAGTGGCAGCTGCTGGCTGGGAGCCTAGCTCTGAAGGCAGAGCTGCTGCCAGCCGCAGCACAGAAGGAAGGATGGCATGGTATGGTATTTCCACCCTTACTTCTGCACTGCTGCCTGCACAGCTGGGCCTTCAGTCAACAGCCGCCACTCTCCAGCCACCCAGCTCTGAAGGTAGCAGTGCAGAAGTAAGGGTGGCATGGTATGGTATTGCCACCCTTTCTTCTGCGTTGCTGCTGGTGGGGCGCAGCCTTCAGAGCTGGGCACCTAGCCAACAGCCACTGCTCTCTGGCCACCCAGCTCTGAAGGCAGCGCCGCAGTAAGAGTGGCAATAGTATGACTCCCCTAAAATAACCCTGCAAACCCCCTGCAACTCCCTTTTGGGTCAGGACCCCCAATTTGAGAAACTCTGGTCTCCCCTGTGAAATCGGTATAGTATAGGGTAGAAGCAAACAAAAGACAAGATTTCATGGAGACCGACCAGATTTCACGGTCCGTGACGCGTTTTTCATGGTCGTGGATTTGGTAGGGCCCTAGCTATGAAGAAAGGAAGCAAAAAGACTAGCCACTCCTGGATAAACTCCCCATTCCTGTACACTAATCAAAGGCTCCAGTTGGTTACCTTCCACCTCCGTTAGAGGGGAAAGCACTCACGGTCGATTTATTGTACACCAAGGCCAGTTTGTAAGGAGTGAACAGGCTTATTTAAACTTCCAAGCTGTCATTATAAACTAGCTCCAGAGTTCATGCTGCCCAAGTTCAGGAGGTTTCTTCGCTTTACTTTACCATTTCTCCTAATTTTTAATTAAAAACAAACTAATTGCCTAGACTTGGTAGAGTGAATTCTGCACCCAGGCAGCAATCCCACTTACGTAATAGGAGGTTTGAGTAAGGACTGCAGAATTTTGCCTGATGGCTTGATGAAAGTATATCCTAAAAAGATGCCATTTGTTTATAAGCAAAGGAAAAAGAAAAACAATGGTCTAAAGTGAGCTCTGTTTTCATGTAGAACTTTTAAAGCTGAGCTATTAAGGAGCCTAACCGTTGTCTATTTTAGGCACCTCAGCGCAGCCATAGGAACTCACACTTTAATCCAGCAGCGGAGGCTGGGTGATTCTTTTGTGGTAGTTGCCCTGGCCTAGATTTCCAAAGGCATTTAGGAACCTAACTCCTATTGAAATCAATGGGAATTGGTACCTAAATCCCTTTGAGGATCTGGGCCCCAGTGCACATCAGGCACTATCAGCATTGCCCAGTATATATATACAGTAGCTGTTGCACAAACCAAGAGAGCAGAGGGGAGATGGGGGTTTGGCATACAGAGTAATTGACACACCAAATTCTCCGGGAAGCCTTTGGATGAACGTGCCTGTTGCAGGATATATCCAGTGCTTTTTGCTCCATAGGTACAATAGGAGAATTGGTTTTCTAGCTTAACAGCCAAACTCAACTTTAAAAAAAAAAAAAACACCCACTTAGTCCTGTAAAGGGCTTCTGCCTCGGTATGTCTAGCAAAAGACAGACCAGTATATCAAGTTAAAAAATATATAGGTGCCTGGGAATATTATTCTTGAGTATTTATCAATCGCATGAGTGTTCTGGATGATGCGCAGGCCAACATGGCCTTTCAGCCCTCTCTTTCTTGATGAATTAGATTCATTGTTCATGGCCAAATGAACCACTATCTTGTCTTGTTTTTCTTCCTCAATCACTATCTGGCTTCTTGTGTATCCTGCTAGGCTGTTGGCATCAGATTCACTGTAGGTTCCATCCAGCATCATGGTTTTTGTATTAGGTATTCCACATGTACATGGAAACTGAGAACAGAAACAAACAATAGTCAAACACTGAACAAAAATACTAGAGGCAAAGACGATACCTTTCTTTTTATGGACAGCTTGTAAAAACTGGAGCTGCACACAGGGCCGGCTCCAGGGTTTTTGCTGCCCCAAGTGGCGGGGGGGGGAAGCCGCGATCGGCGGCACTTCGGTGGCAGCTCCACCACGCCGCTCCATTCTTCGGGGCAATTCGGCGGCAGGTCCTTCCGTCCGAGAGGGACTGAGGGACCCACCGCCGAATTGCCGCCGAAGAGCCAAACGTGCTGCCCCTCTTCATTGGCCGCCCCAGACACCTGCTTGCTGCGCTGGTGCCTGGAGCCGGCCCTGGCTGCACATTATAGTTCAACTGTGATATGTTTCTCTATTAAAGCTTAAGTTTTCTGAAATGAAAAGTTGCTGACTAGCCATACTGGTTGCAACTTTATATTGTGTCTGGCTTTGTTGCTGAAATCCTGTGTGGTAATTAGGGATGGGAAATTGGTTTGATTGAAATTAAACCTGAGCAGAAGTTTTTCCCAGTAAATTCAATTCCCGCTGGCTGCTTTTGCATTCCTTTTCATGTTCAGTTTCTATGGATACTATAGCGCAAGAGGCAGTAATGTTTGTGGAAACAGCATTTTAAGCAAAGATGAGAAAAATATTGACAGAAAGTAAGTTTTGATGTCCTAAATGTAAGTATTCTCTCTGGAAACCTGATTCTAAAGCTTACACATATCCAGCCAGAGAACAGGAAAAATATCTGGGGTGAAACTCATCCCACTTGTCTAATCAAAACAGCTAATGCATCTGGAATTCTAAATAGCAAATACTCATAAGCACACTGCTCATGAACTGACCAAGAATAATTTGGCAAATAATTGTGGACAACAAATCAAACTGCTCACAGACAATTCATAAACTGGAAAAAGAGACTATTGTCTCTGTTCCAGTTGTAGCAAAATGATGTGGCTGGTCAATGCACATGGGTTCAAGTACTGTCATAAGAACTTCAGACCTAGGCTACATCAGAGTTGTTCTAAATAGTTTGTTCCCATCAGTGATGGGATTTTTTTAGAACTCTGTATGACTACAAACCAATTTAAACTGTGTTTACAACACATTTTATACTTAGCTTGAAGGCAAGTGTAAGTACAGGTGGAACCCTTGATCTTTTAAATGTAATTTTATTTTTGTCTCTCTTTAAGCAGCCACATTATATTCCTTAATCTCAAACCCCCTATCCCCCCCCCCAATATTATAGGGGAGGATTAAATCAGGATCCTTAGCATCAGGCCCCTCGGTTGACCAATCCAGGACGCAATAGTAAGCACCAGGTTGCTACAGGCCAATTGCTGCAGGACCCAAGAGGAAGAGAAATATTGTTGACCCAGGTAACTCTTAACCCCCAGGTCAGATTATGATTTGGCCTGAGGGAAGGCCACAGACAGTCACTAGGAGCTGAATGACTCTGATTTAATAGGTCTTGTATACACTGCCAGGTGTCTAGGAAGATAGCGGGAGGAGAAAGCAAGCCCAAAGTTTAGATGGTTCTGGCCCCAACATAGTCTTAATCCATCCCTGATGTATTCCCATGTACACATGTGCACACACACATACAGAGAAGAGATGTGCTGAATGATTTCAGGCCACCATACTGCCACAGTCCATTTCTAGGGAGTCCAAAAATCCAAATTTGGATTCCCCTGGGACTTTCACAGCTGAATGGCATTGGCTAACGAGATCAACATTTATTCCAGTGAGAGACAATAGTCTCTCGAGTCTCTTAAAGAGCCCTCATTCCACTCAGACACTAAGCCACACTTCCCTACAAGCCCATTAGAGATAACAAACACAATTTCCTTGACCATCCTTAATGATTATTATTGCCTTGTATCTGAGGGTAAAAAAAAAAAACTTTTGATGTGTATAATCAGCCTTTTCAGCCTGCTTCCTTTATTGCATGATGATACAATTCAGTGCAGGGATATCAACAATTGAAAGAAAATTTGTGACATAAATGATAAATTGTGCCATCACTGAACTGTCCTCTTTTTACCATGGAGACAGATAATGAAAAAGCTAATGATATTTTACTTGCCATAAAAATGACCTGCTTTGGGTCAGTAGAATTTAGCAAGGCTGAATTATTATTTGCTAAGCACTTATGATGGGGTCAGAGTTTAGACAGGACAGAAAAAGTCTATGCTCTGCAGATCTTATAGTCTAATAGAGAGGCACAGATACAACAAGATGCATTGAAATACCCAGAGGAGTTGGCAGGCTTAAGTGAAGCTTTGTGTGTGTGACAGTTTTCCTGAATTCACTCTCTTCTCCTCTAAACAATGTTGGAAGGGAGAAACCATTAGATAAGCATTTGCCATGGAAACAATGAGAATATAGGGGGGATTTGAAAGAGGGAGGAGCATTGGATTGGCATGTCAGGATTTGGAGGTTATTCTATACATAGAGTGTAGAATGGGAGGAGGCACAAAGTGATGATGTTTAAACTTGATATAAAGGGAACTGGTGGAGGGATTCAAAAGTAACATCATTGTCCAATCGTCAGGCAAGCAAGATAACTTTTGCAGCTGCATTTTGGACAGATTGAAGATGTATCAGAGAGAGGATTGCCTCAGTAATCAAGGTGGGAGATAACCAGGGCACAGATAAAAAGAAAGGTCGTATTTTTTTAATGGGAAGGAAGAAGTGGCATAATTTAGGGAGAGGAGGGAGTCAAAAATGACCCAGAGGTTCAAAGCCTCAATCATTGTTCGGAAGGATGGTGATTTGGTGAATGGCAATGGCGAAGGAAAGGAGGTTTAGGAGAACAAATAAAAAGTTCAATTTCAGCAATGTTTTGTGAGATCTGGCAGTGAACTGTCCAAGGTATGTTGCAGAAACACTAAGATATGCAGGCCTGGACATCAGGAAACAGGGCAGGCTGAAAGGCAGATTTGTGAATTATCAGCGTAGAGATGATAGCGGAAGTTGTATGAGTGGATGAAGCCACGCAGTGACAAGATGTAGAAGGAGAAGAGAAGCGCACCACAATTAGAGTCCTGTGGAACTCCTGTAAAGAGCAGGAGAGCCACCAAGAAAGTATAGGTTCTCAAAAGCCAAGGGTGGACAGGATATTAAGGAGGAGGCAGTGTATTGTGGGGTACAGAGAGATATTAGATAGACTGTAGTATTGAAGGTTGGAGAAGGCTTATGGAGAAGAAGAATGGAGCAGAATACATTAGACTTGGCCAAGAAGAGATCATGGGAGGCCTTGGTGACAGCAGTTTCAATGGAGAGGATGGAAACCAGATTGGAGTGAATCCGAGACTGAGGTAAAAGAGAGAAAAGGCAGTAGTTGTGAGCAGCTTCTTCAATGACCTTAGCAGTGTCAGGGAGGTGGAATGGTAAATGGAGAGACAGTTGAGGGATACTATTATTAGCATGTTTGTGTAACTGGGAAATGATGGAATCAAAGGTACAGCTGGAGGGATGGAAAATAGAGAGTAAGTGAGACCTCAGACTTCATAACTGGGCCAAAGGAGGAAAGCTTATTGATGGCCAATGGACTGTGGCAGAATAGCATGAGGTGAAAGAGGCTCATGACAGATCTTGAAGATTCAGGACTGAGGAACAGACTGACTAGAGAAGAGACAGCTAATATTTACACACAAACTCTTTGTGATACCAACCATGGGAAAGGAAGTACAGAAAAGGTATTCATCCATTAAATGGGCTTTCAGTAAAACAGGTTCATTTTTTAAAAAGATTCTTTTAAATTACCCAACAGCATGAGTGAAAACCATAAAAATGATCCACTTAGCACCATGGCCTTTCATGGCACATTAAAAGAATAAATATAAAGATTATTTGTTGCTCAAGTGTGTTTTGTGCCAAGGAACAATTCTACTATTGCCTTTATTGAACCCATTTTTTTAAATGTACCGGATCGTGAGTTAGAAGTCTTTAATTCATTCAGACTAATTCATTAGCTGTAACTTTAAAAATAAATTGTGGTGACCACAGGGAAATATCAGTCTGGATTTCCCCTTTCTTACCCTCCACATATTGTCTCTGCCAAAGTCCCAGGTTGCAAACATCCCCAGTTCTGATCTTTGTTTCGTTCTCTCTTCCTTTTGTACAATGATCAAAAGAGACCAACTCCTGTTTTTGTGGTGTCAGCACTTCCGTGTCAGCTTCAGCATTGTAGACAAATTAATCACACACCACGAATGTCAGAGTTTTCCCATTCCTTGTCCCAAAACATACAATATAAAGCACGTCACGTGTAAAAAGATTGTCTCTCACCTTCTCTCGCAACTTCCTTTCCTTCCGTTCCTGCACTGTGGTCAGGTAATTCACTGCTGCGTATTCCAACACTGAGAGAAAGACGAACACAAAACTGACCCAGAGGTAAATGTCCACAGCTTTGATGTAGGAAACTCTAGGCATGGAGGCGTTTACACCAGTGATGATTGTTGACATGGTCAGCACTGTGGTTATCCCTGGAAAAATCCCCACAAAAATGTATTTCATATGCCAAATATAGTTCAGAAGGCATCTACTATTAATTAGTTTTGTCTCAAAATACAGTACTGTCCTCAGCACCACTCATAGCCTATAGAAATGATTTATTGGGTCATCTTGTCTAGCTGCCTCACAATGCAGGATTTTTCCCTACAGTGCGTTCTTGAGCACTCTGTCTAGTCACATTTTTAAATGTGATGGAGCAGCCACCACTTCCCTTGTGAGTTTCTTTAACTCTCTAGTGTTTAATTAGGAAGTGATGCTTCAGCCCTAACCTATAGGGACCGCTCATTAGATTGAGGAATTTGTTCAGCCTAGAACGCCATTTAGTCATTTTTTTCCTGCTTTAGCTATCATCCAGGGTGCCAGTGGTGATAAGGACTCTTGGTTCACTGAGAGCACCGATTTGTTTTACACAGTTCACCAAACAGCAGTCAATGATCAATGACTGTCGGTCACTGCTGAAGTGGAATTGACTGGAATCATTGTCTCAAAAGCTGAAACCCATTTATGTTAAATCCTGTGTGTGTGTGTGTGTGTGTGGAAATGTCTTGCATGACATGATGTGACAGAAAAGCCCTCATGCTCACCTTAGTTAAGGTGATTGAAAAGTTTTTAATGGCATCCACTGTATCCATAGTATAAATTTTACAGTTAAGCAGGTACTCTGTGGTGATAAAAGTAAAATACTTTCCCTAATTTTCACCAGTTTGCAATAGCCACTTAACAATTGAGTGCCAGAGCCAAAGAGCATTTGCGTGACTTTAATCAGGTCATTCCAAACTACTGAAAGTCCTTTCACTTGAGCAGACTCTGCTGCTTTTTTCAGATGCTTGTTACAGTATCGCAAACTATGGGACTAACCTGCTATTTTTACTCTGTATTTATAGGAAGTCATATGCACTCATATTCAGAGAGATACACTAGACTTTTTATTACATCTCTGTCTCTCTCTGACTTAGGCATTAATAACTGAGCACATCTGTTTCTTTTTTTATTTTTTAAACAAAAGAAATTCCAACAGTCCTGAATTAGACAAAACTCTCATTTATTTTAATGCCCATTTCAGGACTGTTAGGTTGGCCCTATAATTAGAAATCTTGATTCACTAGTTCACAAACACTGGAATCTCTTTTCTCTGCTTCCTTCTCTTTTTAAAATACAGTTCCATCTTCTGCCCTGATTTAAATACAGATCAAGAAGATTTATCAATCATGAAGAAGCAATTCAACAATGAAGAACATAAGACAAAGTACAGACCTTAAAGTACTTTAACTATCAGATAAAATACATATGTATTTTCCTAGCATATTTAACAAATGAAACAGAGAATTCCCCCTCCCCCTACTCCTCCAATTTTCAAAGGTTTTGTCACATTCATGGTTGATGTTAATTGCCCTCACCTAATGACACTCTAGCAGGTACAGCTCTGCGATCAATCCAGAAGGACACCCACGATAGCATGACCATTAGAGTGGCAGGGAAATAGGTTTGGAGCAAGAAGAAGAAGATGTGGCGGTGTAAAGTGAAATTTATGTACAGTCTATTGTACCATCCTGTTGGGAGGGGGAAAAAGTGTCATGAAGAGCATTTTAATGACACATACAGAGCTGCTACATCTTTCAGAAAATCATATTTACTTTATAAGAGTAGACAATCTATAACTGTGAATATATACAGGGGGAGGGGGAATTCTATATTCTTTGCATCGTTCACAGCACATAGACTGTAATGATCTATAATCCCAAAGATGACAAGGACAAAGGGAAAGAGACTATTACTCAAGCACGTCTTATAGAAATTTCATTTAAATTTCACCTGGCAAATGTTTAACACTGAACTATAAATATATGGCAATGACTCAAAAGAATAATAAAACCATTTTAAGAAGAATGATACCAGTGCTACTGTAGAAAGCGAGTCTGGAAGTAGTATGAAACTTTTGTATCAAAAACTGAGACAAGGAAATCTTTTCATCAGTTTTCAGGGATTCGTTCCCATTTTTCCAGTAAAGCATCAGATCTTCATCAGTGTAAGCATCTTCAGAAAAAAAGAAAAGAAAAAAAGACACAATGTGACTTGGCTTTAGGATATTTCATGTAAACAGTCAGTATAAAAAGTAACTATGTGTGGATAAGGAACATATTAGTGAGATTCACAGATGATTCTAAGGCCCCAGTCCTGCATTGTGATCTGCTTGGTGCAGGGGTCCATGTTTCATGGACTCTAGTGCATGATCAGGCTCTCAATTGGGGAACATCACAAATACTAGGGAGGACAGACTAATAATGCAAAGTGTACTAGCAGGGCTGGCTCTGGCTTTTTTGCCGCCCCAGGCAAAAGGCCGTCCGGCGGCGCCCCCCAGGGGGGAGGGCAGCCAGAGCGCCGGGGGGAGGGCGGCGAGCCCGGCCCTGGCCCCGCTCTCCCCGGCGGCCGGAGCGCCGCGCCGCCCCCCTCCAGGTGCCGCCCCAAGCACAAGCTTGGTGGGCTGGTGCCTGGAGCTGGCCCTGTGTACTAGAGAGGTTGGAAGTATTTGTGGAAAATAACATTGAATTCTGTTTGGAAAAAATGCAGATGAATTTATCTGCAGAAAATAACCTGAAACACAGGTACATCTTTGGAATGCAGTAATGCCAAATAAATAGAGTTTTTAATGGACAGTAGATTAAATAAGGATCTTGCCATACCATGTAATGTAGCAGCACAAAAAGCCAAACCAAAGACATCACGTCATGTTCCAGGTCCGCCTTTATACAGCACTGTAGTATAACTAGAATTGTACATTTCTGATCACCACACTACCAGAAAAATTTAGACAAATTGGTGGAGATTCAGAGATGAACACCAGAATTGAATAAGGGGCTGGAAAGGGGTTTATCAGGAAAGATTATAGGAAGTAATTATGGTTAATCTGGCCAAATTTAGGGGGAAAGTGAGAGACAGCCATCTAAAATGTTATTTGAAAGATGTAATTGAAGGTGAGAGGTATCACTGTAGGTAACAAATCAACAAGTATTTGAAGGGTATAAACACAAAAGAGAGAGGAATTATTTAGTATGCTATGTGAGCATAATGAGGGAGAAAAGGGAGGAAATTTAGCAAAGGAAAATTTTGGCTAAATGTCTGGCGAAACATCAGAACAATTAGGTAATTGGTCTTGAGAGACTGATGAATAGTCTCCCAAGGATAGCAGTGGAAACACTGTTGTTTAAAACATTTAAGGCTGGATTTACAAAAGGATTTAGGCACTCAATTGTCACTTTAGGTGCCTCAATCCCAGAATCAGGCCCCAGTGGGATTCACAAATTCACCTAAAATTGCTCAGTGCCTAAATTTTTCCAGTAAAAGTTCCCTCAACACGTATGTTTCTGCCTTTGCACCTGTGCACTGCAGCCCCATGCCAGGCATCCAGACGTCAGCCCTAGAGTGACGCATGAACCTAGAGAAGATAAGCTTTCCTTTGCCTAACTTGCTCAGACCTACCCAATGAGGCCCATATAGACAGGCTTACACAAAACACCAAAGGAGGAGAAAGAGGATTTCCCTCATAACTTTTTAGTCCAGGGGTAGGGTGACCAGACATCCCTTTTTTAAAGGAACAGTCCCATATTTAAGCCCTCCTGCAGGTGTCCCAACTTTTTCTTAAAAACAGGCAAATTGTCCTGTATATTCTGTCTCTCCCCCGCCCCCATCAGTACTGATGGGTCCTGCTGCTGGACAGATCCCTGCTTGCCAGCCGTCCTCCCACCAGTGGTGAGTCGGGGGTGGTGTCCAGTGGCCAACGATGGGGGTGGGGGTGCAAGGCTGGTGGTGGGGCAAAGCAGCACACAGGGCCAGCCGATCCCCTGCTGGTCCGTCAGCACAGCCCCGTCACATGCTGGTTATTGGCAAACAGGGCCCTGCCTCCCCGTCCCGTTTCCAAGTGGCACTGGCTGCATGGTGCGGTGGCAGGTGCCAGGCAATGGCCAGTTACATGTCATCTCTGTTACCCATCCATCAGCCCTTTATGTGCTCCCCCTCTCACTATCCTCCCCCTGCTTTGTCCCTTCGCCCCCCCCCCCCCCGAATCCCACTGCTCCTCCATATCCCCATCGGTGGGCACGTCCTGCTCCCAGCGCTGTGTGGAGAACCAGCCCCTGGTCAGAGCACTGAGCTCACCAGCAGCCTGGCCAGCAGGCTCCTTCCTTCCCCCACTTCCTCTGGCTGGGCTGGGGTCCCGGGGTAGCCCAAGACCCTCCAGCTTGGGGTGCCAGCCAGGAGGAGGCGAGCCCTGCATGTGCCAAAGCCCCACACAATGCTTGTACAGGGAAGCCTCTCCGCCCCTCAGCTAAGCTCTGCTGTTCATGCCCCAAACCTGCAGGTTCCACAGCAGCCCCCAGGGCAGGGGCTTAGCATCCTCTTGACCCCCGACCCTCCCACCCTGGGTCGTGCCCCCACGGAGCATGGGGCTGTTCCGTCCCATCCCCTAGGCACCCTGCACTGCTGAGCCATCTCTCTGGCCAGTTCGCTGAAGCCCCTGCAGTCAGGTTCTCTGGGCCCCGGTGCACAATGCATCCATAGGGCTTAACCCCTTCCTGCCCACGCTGTAGCTGGTGGGGACAGGAGGCAGCTGGGTTATGTTGTTGGCCAGCAGCAGCCAGTGTTAGCTGCCTTTCAACACTGTGCAGGCAGGAAGGGACAAGCTGCTTCCAGCCATGGGAGGGTGGGAGAAGAAGAGATGAGCTCTGCAAAGACAGGAGCCAGGTCATCCCTTCCCGCCCTTCCCTCTGCGGCTGGAAGCCGCTTCCGTCCCTTCCCTCCCGCACAGGGCCGAAAGGCTGTTGCTGGCCACATTCTGGTGTGAACCCTGGCAGAAATCTGGGGGAGTGAGGGTATGTGACCCTGCATGCCGCACCCCCCCACACTTGTTGCCTCAGGAAGATGCGGCACCAGGTACCAGGAGAGGCGGGTCCGTCCCGGGGGCTCAGCCAGGCATGGAGGGCAGAGCGTGCCAGGCAGGGAGGGTCGGGTGGGTTGGTCAGTTACCCCCCGTGTGAGAGAGGTGTATGGGAGTGTGTGTGTGTCACCTCTCCCGTGTGAACCCTAAAGCCTTAAAGATAAGAATGTAAATAAAAAGAATCCAACTACGCAGTATTTCTTAACGGGTGCTCAGTCAACTCGATGTTAATTTGAACGTTTGTACTGCATAGTTCTGATAGATTGCCGTTGAACTCGCTTGAATATGAGTAATTTTACCAAGTGTCCCGTATTCAGCATAGGGAAATATGGTCACCCTATCCAGGGGGTAGGACACTCACCTGGAATGTGGAAGTCCCCTGGTTCAAATCCCCCCTCCACCTGAGTGGGAGACAGGATTTGAACAGGGATCTGTCGTCACCTCTCAGGTGAGTGCTCTAACCACTGGGCTATGGGATATTCTGATGTGGGGTTCCCTCAGTCTCACCTGTTGCTCTCTGGATAAATAATTTTTAAAAATTAATTGGAGTACAGGGACTGGATCTTGTGTCTCCCACCTCACAGATGAGTGCTCTATCCACCAGGATAGAGTCATTTTCAGTGAATAAGGAGCCTACATGCCTAACCCAGGCTTTGTAAATCCCAGTGATTTTCTAGGTACCTAAAAGTTTCTTTGTGAATCTAGCACGTAAGCATGAAAGCAACTTCATGCCGCTGGTGAGTCCCATTAAGTTGAACTGAATTACCCAAGTTGAACTCAGTGGGACTGCTCATGTACTTTAGTACTTGCAGGATCAGGCCTATCGTTTGTAAAGCACATTAGAGTCTTTGGGGATGAAAGGTACATACATTGAAAAGAGTAGCAATTATTAACTGTCCTCCATGATGGTTTCAAACATCATCTCCCAAACAGAGCCAACCAACACAGCAGAAATTCTGAGTTTTCCCTCCAAACCAATGTGTTGTAATAGTCACCAGCCCATGGAGTAGGACCCTAGTTTGACTTTTGTTGTTTTTCTTTGTCATCTACTACAAACTCTCTCTCTCACACACACACACTCACACTCACTCACTCCCTCCACAAATAAGGACCCGATCCAAAACCCATTGACTCAGTGGAAAGAAGCTCATTGACTTCAACAGGCCTTGACTCAGGCCCCAAAATATTATTTTTCTTTATTCTGAAGTATGTATAACCAACCAATGCGTACAGTCAGCTAAGGGGGACTTGCAGCTAAGAACGTCTATACAACTTACAGCTTTCCAGTTCCAGAGAACAAGTCTGTGAGTCCAGGGGAAATCGACTGAAGTCCATGTTGCACATTGCTGTCACAGTGATCCTAGAAATCCAAAGAGGAAAGGTCACTTCCTAAAAGAGACGCTATATTCCAGAGAAGGTAGAGGACGTGTCACGGGGCACAGAAAATATAAATTTTAAATATATAAAAATCATTTCCCAGATTTAAAAACAGAAACTATGCATAATGTGTTAACATAAAAGAACTAAGAAACTTCCTAGTCAGGTACAGAGGCCCTGCCCTTCAGATATAGACATGGTTGGATGTGCACAGGCCATGTGAAGGTTTACACCGCATCTGTACGCTCATGATTTCCATGGTTGGTGTGGAGCAGTTTGGCTCCTAGTCCAGTTAGAGTAGCTTCCAGGGACTGTTGTAATAGGTTGGGGCCTCTGAACACTACTGCAACTCAAACAGCAAACAATAATAATATTTTTAGTGTATTTGAGTGTGTTTTATTGGATGTCTGCCTTATATTAAATTGGTTTCTTATAAAAAAAATATTTCACTGGGTTCCAGAGTATGATGCTTCATAGATTCATAGATTCATAGATTCTAGGACTGGAAGGGACCTCGAGAGGTCATCGAGTCCAGTCCCCTGCCTGCATGGCAGGACCAAATACTGTCTAGACCATCCCCGATAGACATTTATCTAACCTACTCTTAAATATCTCCAGAGATGGAGATTCCACAACCTCCCTAGGCAATTTATTCCAGTGTTTAACCACCCTGACAGTTAGGAACTTTTTCCTAATGTCCAACCTAGACCTCCCTTGCTGCAGTTTAAGCCCATTGCTTCTTGTTCTATCCTCAGAGGCTAAGGTGAACAAGTTTTCTCCCTCCTCCTTATGACACCCTTTTAGATACCTGAAAACTGCTATCATGTCCCCTCTCAGTCTTCTCTTTTCCAAACTAAACAAACCCAATTCTTTCAGCCTTCCTTCATAGGTCATGTTCTCAAGACCTTTAATCATTCTTGTTGCTCTTCTCTGGACCCTTTCCAATTTCTCCACATCTTTCTTGAAATGCGGTGCCCAGAACTGGACACAATACTCCAGCTGAGGCCTAACCAGAGCAGAGTAGAGCGGAAGAATGACTTCTCGTGTCTTGCTCACAACACACCTGTTAATACATCCCAGAATCACGTTTGCTTTTTTTGCAACAGCATCACACTGTTGACTCATATTTAGCTTGTGGTCCACTATAACCCCTAGATCCCTTTCTGCCGTACTCCTTCCTAGACAGTCTCTTCCCATTCTGTATGTGTGAAACTGATTTTTTCTTCCTAAGTGGAGCACTTTGCATTTGTCTTTGTTAAACTTCATCCTGTTTAACTCAGACCATTTCTCCAATTTGTCCAGATCATTTTGAATTATGACCCTGTCCTCCAAAGCAGTTCCAATCCCTCCCAGTTTGGTATCATCCGCAAACTTAGTAATCGTACTTTCTATACCAATATCTAAGTCGTTAATGAAGATATTGAACAGAGCCGGTCCCAAAACAGACCCCTGCGGAACCCCACTCGTTATGCCTTTCCAGCAGGATTGGGAACCATTAATAACAACTCTCTGAGTACGGTTATCCAGCCAGTTATGCACCCACCTTATAGTAGCTCCATCTAAATTGTATTTGCCTAGTTTGTCGATAAGAATATCATGCGAGACCGTATCAAATGCCTTACTAAAGTCTAGGTATACCACATCCACAGCTTCTCCCTTATCCACAAGACTCATTATCCTATCGAAGAAAGCTATCAGATTGGTTTGACATGATTTGTTCTTTACAAATCCATGGTGGCTGTTCCCTATCACCTTACCACCTTCCAAATGTTTGCAGATGATTTCCTTAATTACTTGCTCCATTATCTTCCCTGGCACAGAAGTTAAACTAACTGGTCTGTAGTTTCCTGGGTTGTTTTTATTTCCCTTTTTATAGATGGGCACTATATTTGCCCTTTTCCAGTCTTCTGGAATCTCTCCCGTCTCCCATGATTTTCCAAAGATAATAGCTAGAGGCTCAGATACCTCCTCTATTAGCTCCTTGAGTATTCTAGGATGCATTTCATCAGGCCCTGGTGACTTGCAGGCATCTAACTTTTCTAAGTGATTTTTAACTTGTTCTTTTTTTATTTTATCTGCTAAACCTACCCCCTTCCCATTAGCATTCACTAGGTTAGGCATTCCTTCAGACTTCTCGGTGAAGACCGAAACAAAGAAGTCATTAAGCATCTCTGCCATTTCCAAGTTTCCTGTTATTGTTTCTCCCTCTTCACTAAGCAGTGGGCCTACCCTGTCTTTGGTCTTCCTCTTGCTTCTAATGTATTGATAAAAAGTCTTCTTGTTCCCCTTTATTCCCTTAGCTAGTTTGAGCTCATTTTGTGCCTTTGCCTTTCTAATCTTGCCCCTGCATTCCTGTGTTGTTTGCCTATATTCATCCTTTGTAATCTGTCCTAGTTTCCATTTTTTATATGACTCCTTTTTATTTTTTAGATCATGCAAGATCTCGTGGTTAAGCCAAGGTGGTCTTTTGCCACATTTTCTATCTTTCCTAACCAGCGGAATAGCTTGCTTTTGGGCCCTTAATAGTGTCCCTTTGAAAAACTGCCAACTCTCCTCAGTTGTTTTTCCCCTCAGTCTTGATTCCCATGGGACCTTACCTATCACCTCTCTGAGCTTACCAAAATCCGCCTTCCTGAAATCCATTGTCTCTATTTTGCTGTTCTCCCTTCTACCCTTCCTTAGAATTGCAAACTCTATGATTTCATGATCACTTTCACCCAAGCTGCCTTCTACTTTCAAATTCTCAACGAGTTCCTCCCTATTTGTTAAAATCAAGTCTAGAACAGCTTCCCCCCTAGTAGCTTTTTCAACCTTCTGAAATAAAAAGTTGTCTGCAATGCAGTCCAAGAATTTGTTGGATGGTCTGTGCCCCGCTGTGTTATTTCCCCAACATATATCCGGATAGTTGAAGTCCCCCATCACCACCAAATCTTGGGCTTTGGATGATTTTGTTAGTTGTTTAAAAAAAGCTTCATCCACCTCTCCCACCTGGTTAGGTGGCCTGTAGTAGACTCCTAGCATGACATCACTTCCTTTATGTCCAGCTTCCTGTTCTTTCCTTGTTTTGCCTTCACTCCACCTCAGTCACTACAACAAACCCGCCTGAGTTCCACATGCATAAATCAGCAACAATAGCATGAAAGGCCCCTCGATCTATTTACTATTAGGGGAAAGCTGATTTTCTTAGTGCTGGATCAATCTTGTTTAAACTGTGAGGGCTGATTATTACTGGTGGAATGGGGGGCAGCTATTTTTCCAGTAGTAAGATTTGCCTCTGTTAAATTCACATCGGGCCTCGGGATCTGAAACAATCCCGGCTTGAGTTTATAAATCTGAATCTAATCAGCCCTAATGTTACTTTACCAGGGAACCAGGAGGTTTCTTCTCATTAACTGATTTGAAGTGAGGCTCTAAATTCAGTAGGGACAGTCCAGATGTGAGTCGTCACTTTAAAGTTTATAGTCCTGTTTATGCTGCCTCTGACTGCTTCCCTGGTTCATTTCAGATGGTGACAAAGAACCTTTCTGCTGATCAAAGGGCTATGGGCCAAATTCTGCCCCGACCTACACACCGATCACCCCAATGAAGTAACTGGAGTTGTATTGTTTATAAACCAGAGCAGAACTTAGCCAAAGCAGATTTTTGGAGCTCAGACAGTGCTGCTATCATGGTAACAATTTCTCATAGTTCTCTACAGTGTTGTCCATCATAGTTAAATACTGTATAACTTTGTGTCATTACAATATGACATTTTCTTTCCTAATACATGTAGTTATTAACAATTCATTAGTCAGAGAACACAGAAACTCAACCTGTCAATAAGAGATCCCCTCGATTAAAGTGCAGTATAGACCAAATGGTCTTGAATTTATAAGTCCCTAATGTGATTTTGTGAACCCTGCTTCTATGCATACTGCCAAAAGACCACAAGGAGAGTATATTCATGCTGCTAAGGTGCACGTTTACTTGATCTTAACTTTGTGATGATATTGTGAAGCAAATTAAAACAATGTATCCAGTTTTTTTATCTGCTGTATGTTGAAACTGATGAGCAATAGGTCCTAAGAAAAATAATTATTTTATTAAAACAAATGTGCATTGCACATGTCATTCCCTTATCCTAGGCTACTCTCTCTCTCTCTCTCTCTCTCACTTAGGTACTTATATGGCCCCCGTTGCCCGAGCATCTGAGCATCTCATGAGCTTTATTGTATTTATCTTCCCCAACACCCTTGTGAAGTAGGGAAGTGCTATTACGTTCATTTTACAGATCAGGAATAGAGAAACTAAGGCCCAGATTCACAAAGGTACTTAGGAGCCTAAACCAGATTTGGGTGCCTAACTCCCATTTGTAGGGTTCACTATAATCCACAAAACTCCTTCCTGGCTGCCACCTAACCCTGTAGGTGCCTAAATTCACTCAGTGCCTAAAGTTTCATTATAAAAATTCCCCAGTTTCTGCCTCTGGGCATGCACATTGCTGCTTCACTCTAGCTACCCAGATGCCTATCTCCCCTCTAAGCCCTAGAGCGATCCCACAAACCAGGGGAAGGTAGATGGAGGATTACCTAACCCACCCATAGGGACTGATTCAGTAGGTCTGCTCTGAAGCTGCTTGCTGGATTGGGTCCCATTCAAAATCCTCATGGTAGTGAGAACGGTGAGATTACAAGCTTGGTTGATGAAGTTAATAGTATTGGTGTAATATACACTGGACCCTCGCCAGAACGCGCGTCTATATAGCGCGAATTCACATATAATGCGGACGCAGCCATGGATCCCAAATTTAATTACTTTAAATGCAATTCCTTTTAACGTTGTCCCTGCGTTAACGCGGAACCACGCATGGATCCCAAATCCTGCATTCTAGCAAGAGTCCGGTGTATTTAGACTTCTGTAAGGCATTTGACTTGGTACCACATGACATCTTGATTAAAAAACTAGAATGATATAAAATTAAAACAGCACACATAAAGCAGATTAAAAACTGGCTAACTGATAAGTCTCAAAATCTAACTATAAACAGCATAATCGAGCATGTTTGTTTCCAGGTGAGTCCTGTGGGATCCATTCTGGGCTCTGTGTTATTTAACATTTATATCAATGACCTAGAAGAAAACTTAAAATCATAACTGATAAAGTTTGCAGATGATGCAAAAACTGGGTGACTGGTAAATGATGAAGAGGACAGGACACTGATTCAGAACAATCTGGATCACTTGGTAAATTGGGAGCAAGCAAACAATATGCATTTTAATATGGCTAAATATAAACATATATATCTAGAAACAAAGAATATAGGCCATAGTCACACAATGGGAGACTCTATCCTGGGAAGCAGTGACTCTGAAAAAGATTTGGGGGTATGGCAGATAAACAGCTGAACGTGATTTCCCAGTGTGACACTATGGCCCAAGAGCTAATATGATCCTGGGGATGATTCATAAACAGGGGAATCTCGAGTAGGAGGAGAGAGCTTATTTTACCTCTGTATTGGCTGCTGGAATATTGTGTTCAGTTCTGGTGCCCACAATTCAAGAAGGATGATAATAAATTAGAGATGGCTCATAGAAGAGCCATGAGAATGATTAAAGCATTAGAAAACATGCTCTGTAGTGATAAATTCAAGGAGCTCAATCTATTTAGCTTAATGAAGAGAAGGTTAAGGGTTGACTTGATTACAGTCTATAAATATCTACATGGGGGGGAAATATTTAGTAATGAGCTCTTCCATCCAGCAGAAAAAGGTCTAACACTATCCTATGGCTGCAAGTGGAAGCTAGACTAATTCAGACTAGAAATAAGGTGTACATTTTTAACCCTGAGAGTAATTAACCATTAGAATAATTTACCATGGTTGTGGCGGATTCTCCATCAATGACAATTTTTAAATCAAGATTGGATGTTTTTCTAAAAGCTCTGCTCTAGGAATTATTTGGGGAAAGTTCTATGGCCTGTGTTATACAGGAGGTCAGACTAGATGATCACAACGGTACCTTCTGGCCTTGGAATCTATGAATCTGTAAATTTGGTGCTTCTTCTTGCTAGCCAGGATACACTGTATTTATATACATTTATTTAAGCCATGATATCGCTTAACTTACATTTATTCAGATTCTTAACTTTTACATTTTTTGTGTTAGAAAATGGTCAACAGTGCAGTTCCTGTATATTAGATGACGATTCATTTTTGTGTGTGATTTGTGTCAAGCTCTTTGGATGGAAATTCAAATTAAATTTAAAATGCCCCAAAATAGCATTTTCAAATTTTTTTTATTCGTTAAATAAAACTACGTTAACTATCCTGGATCCATAAGAAAAATACAGTAAGTTTACCAAAACATGTTTTGCATTTAAAACCAACTAATTTATTAAACAAAGGAAGTATTACCTGTAGTTAGTGAATTGAACTGATTGTTTCTGGTCATCAAGTCTGGCGAGATTTTAGAGCTAGTAGATCTCATTCTTTCCCATCTAGTTCTTATTAATAGATTTGAAGAGGCAAAACAAGCTTTCCTGTTTTTTCAATTTCCATTGTTTTTTTTAAACTTTGAATTAGCTAGTCAGTGAACTGTTGAATAAATGGAAATGGAAAAAAAAATTCTCCCTGCAACTGCAGAAAAGGCTACTTGCTGTCAAAAGTTGGATTAGCACTTCAACAAATTCTGGTTTCAGGTGCTTCACCAGTGCCTTCCAACAGGTGAAGTGGGTTGACTTTCTTTAAATCTTGCAAGCAAATATATACTGCTTAATATTATTATTTTTATTTAATTTAAATTATTTCAATAGATTATTTTAATTTTCGGCCTCAACATAAATTGTCCTAATTTTGAATTTAATTTTAAATAGGTGTATTTAAAAAAAAAACTGTATTTAATTTACATTAAAAAAATCCCATTTAAATCAAAATCCAATTTAAATTTAAAAAATCCAATTTTTAATTAAAAAAAAAATCAATGATTTTTATCGACCCTGGTCTAAAGGAACTCTGAAAAGCCCTGCAGCCCTTGGGTTCTCCTACCTATCTGGGTCGTATTTTCCAACACATACTTCTTATCTTATCCATCTGGAGGAACCGAAGTCCCTGATGCACTACTGGGGTGTTGCCTCAGAATTCTTTCAGCCAGTAATCTGCCTGAGAATCAGCTACTAAGGTACATCTTTTAGCAGCCACTTCAGCCTCAATTAACTTTGGTTAAAGCTTGGTAGGGATGTGCAACTTATCCCAGAAAACAAAGAGAATGGCTGTTTTTCTAGCAAATATGAAGCAAAAATTGACAGTTCTGGACGTCACCATCTAGTGTACTGCAGAGCCTAATTTAAAGCACATATTGACTGAAGGACAAACACTCCTGATGCACTAAGCTATTCTCTGACCATTGAGGGTTAGGAGGCTACTTTCCTTGGGAGCAGATCATCCTATAATCTCTTACTATGTGGATTCTTGCATCTTCTTTTGAAACACGGTACTGATCAGTGTTGGAAACAGGACACTGGACCAGACAGACCACTTGCTTGACCCTGTATGGCAATTCCTAGCTTCAGCAAATCTGACTCAGAAGTGTGACAGACTATACCCCATGTTCACCATTTTTAAAAGACTATGATAAGTTTTGTACAAAGTATGCCTTGTGAGATATCATTTGAAAGCTCATAATCTACAGTACTAAACATTATTGTCCTGGTAAAATATGTGTATCAACATTATATATAAAGTTATAAGATTCTGCTGTATAACATTGCTGTAACATAATCCGGAGTTAGAAAGGCAGGCCCAAACCAGTTTTTCACGGACAAAAAACACACTGGCACCCCAGCCAAGTATCAGCATAATCAGATGGACTATTATGGACTATCATCTAGGTAAGAGGCCATTCTTTGGCAGGAAGAAGGGTGTGAGCAAACACTTAATATATTGACAATGGAACAGCTGGGGGTTTACATGTAAACAGACTGGCTGTCACATGACCCCTAACTGGAGATAATCCTCAAAGAGGGGAGAAGGGTATAAGAATGAGAAACAGTGGCCTCCAAATCACCTCGCTTCCCCCATCTCTACTCACAGCACCTACAACACTTGAAAGACAAAGGAAGCATCATTGTACTGGGGGAGGGGTCCTGGCCTTTCAGCCACTACAGACTGCTGTAAACCTATGGTAAGACAAAACCTTGGTTTTCAAGCCATTTAGCTTGCTAAGTTAGGTATTAGTTTGCATATTATCTTTTATTTTCTTTGTAACCCATTCTGACTTTATGCCTCATTACTTGCAATCACTTAAAATCTATCTTTCTGTCGTAATAAACTTGCTTATTGTTTTATCTAAACCTGTCTGTGTTTGGATTGACGTGTTGGGGAACCTCCACTTGAGATAACAAGGTTTCTGCTTATCATTTTCCATTGATGAAATGACGGACTTTATATGAGCTTCCATTGTCCAGTAGAAGAGCTGGGCAGTACAAGACGCACATTTCTGGGGAAAGGTCTGGGACTGGGAAGTTGCTGGTGTCACCTGTAATGTAATTCATGAATGGCTGGTCAGAGCATTCATGTAATTCAGCTGGGAATTATTTTGCATGCTAGAGACTATGTGAGAGCAGGACCAGGAGTGGTTGCTCTCACAGCAAAGCAGTATAAAAGGCACCCCAGGTTGGAGATTTGAAGGGACACAGCTGTCCAACAGTCCAGATTATACCCTGGGGAATGTCGCAAGGGCAATTCCTATCTTCAGCAAATCTGACTCAGAACAGAGTTGGGCAAACAATAAATGGCTGTTCACAGACAGTGAGTTAGATTGTGTGGTTACCTCATACTATATAGCACATGACCATCTGGGAACACTCGCAACATGATGTTGTCAGTGGTTGTGTCATGAATGAATGATCTTTTGGAGTGCACAAAGAAGACATCTGGAACCCAAATCTTCTTCACCAGCCTGCCATCAAAGGTCATGCTCTTGTTAGTGATGCTAGGAAATGAGAGGCGTTCATCTTTCCAGTAGTGCCTTAAGTACAGTGTCATAGTAAAGTCCTGCACCAGAAAAAAAGAGAACCATGAAAGAATGCATCACAATGCTGCCTTCCAAACATTAGAAAGGGAATCATCTATTGTTATATTAATATGTCTCATACAGATTGAATCTCTTCTCTGCTAAACATGGTTTTCTTCCTCAGACTAATTCCACAGAACAGCTTCCCGTAGACATAAAGCATTCTGGGAAAGTTCCACAGCCCATACGTTTTTGTATGCTACATTACAAACACCCTAACAGAGTAACATGCAGATATCAATGCATTCCCGCCAAGTACAACAATGCTAATACAATTTGTAGCAGGTATTCCTTAGAAGCTATTAGTCTATAGGACACATTGAAATTCAACCTTCAAAGGAAAATACATATCACTATATCAGTACAGGCTTTTTGAATCCTGACAGCATGATGTTAGTTAAAGGATAATCATATACCCAGTCTGCTTGAAAAAACAAAATCTTGTTCAAATTAGCTAAGGTATGAGTCTGAACACTGAGCAACGTATCCTAGAGAAATAATCATATTATTGCCATACTGGAAAACACCTGCAGCAGCATGAAGAAAAACATCTGTTTCTGCCATTGACCCCAACCTGGCAGCTGCATCTTCTTAAACTAAAAAACCCCTTCATGCTTAGAGATTAACATGTAATTATTTTTATAGTCCCCATTAAGCAATTTGCTACAAAAGTAGTTTCAAAAGCCCTGCCTGCCTGGTCTGGAGTAAGAGCAGCCCACACAGTTTTTTCCCCAATGGTGCAGTAGTTGTTAAAAAAAACTTACTAAGAGCATGTTTGAAAGGACTCATTTTTACACACACAATGTTGAGATGGTGTGGTCACTGGCTGATGTCATTTTAGTCTCTTTTCCCACAAAGCAGTCAGATTATCATAGACGCAGTAGTAGCTAACAGTTGATGGATTAAAGGTATCTGATTTAACAGACCGAGATCTAATCTGGTTGAGCAATCCCTATGGTCCCACGGCACTACTAGAGCCAGTCTAATCTATTGCAGCTTCTTACTTACTAGCTGGGAGGAAAGAAGGTGCCATCTGTAACTGTCAGAGGCAAAATGATCAATTTAGGGCTGCAGTTGGTTATCTTTCCCAAATTTAAAAGGGTGGGCTACCAGGATAGCATGCTAAGAAAGGTTCTTATTAAAAGGCTAAACCCATGCTGGCCAGGGGCCCTATTCTCCTGCTACAGGATACAAGGATACAATTTCAGTGGGAATAACTCTCATCCTATGGTTGAGGAACAAAGCCCCAGGCAGTCAGAGAGATGTAGCTCGAGGGAAAAGGGAGCAAAATTCACAGCTTTCTGAGGGGCAAGGACCTAGGTCCCCAAACTTTTTATCTCACACTCCCCTCCCTAGAGCTGGGGCTGGGAGTGGGGACCCTGCTCTGGGAGGGGGAGACACGGACGGGGTAAGGGGGACACAGCTGGGGCCAGAGCCTAGGCCAGGGGCTAAGGCCGACAGCTGGGGCCAGGGCCAGGAGCAGAGCTGGGTTGTGCTCCCTCCCTGGCCCGGGCCCCAGCCATACCCCCATGAATGTTCCTCCGCATCCCCCCTAGGGGGGCACATCCCACAGTTTGGGGACCTCTGATCTAGGTGAAAGTCTTCCTGGGTAAAGACTAGCGTGTTATTTAATGAGCTACCTAGGGCATAGTTTTGCTATATTATCTTGAAACATCAGAGATCTGGTTCCTCTGCACTGGTTGCTTTCTATGGGTTTTCCATCACATCGTCACCCACATCCCATAGAAAATCCCTGCTTTCAATATCAATGCTCACAAGCCAAGTTCTTATAATGAGGATCCAACTGTGGCTTGATAAAATCCAATCAATCTTTCAATTCTTATTGCTGAAGGAAATTATAAATTGTTTTGTATCAGATAGGATACGAAGCAAGCTGTCCTCAGCAGTATGTTTAACACTGTAACTACAACCTAAAGGGAAAAATTCTAGCTTTAGGTGTGATCCTCAGTTTTTCAAAAGGGAAAATGGCTTGTTTTCTCATTTTGTGATATGCCTCCTTGTACAGCAAAGCCAGAACGATGGTGGCACAAAAGGACTACAGGACAGTAATATTAACAGTTTATATTAAAGACACAAATACTGTGGAGTTTAGATGTTAAGCTAAAACCCTGTCCTTAGCCCTGCAGATTATGCCTAGATTTCACACTCCATGATAAGAGGAACAGTGAGGAAGGGGATGAAGGGAGAGTGGAAAAGAGAAGATTCCCTCTTTTTTCCTCCTCCTTTCCCCATTTCTTTTTCTCTCCCGTCTTTTTGATCCATCTTTCTCCCGCACATGGAAGCTAAAGCAGGAGACTCAGAGGATAGCTCTCTCACATACACCTTTTACTGCCAGTAACACTTATTAGTTGATAATTGGATCCACATTTCTTTCCTTTTAAAAAAACACAATAAGAATAAATTACAACTGAATTTAGTGCTGTTGCTAAGCTCTGGAGTGACATCACTGGTGACCGAAATCTGGTTGTCCATCACAAATTCAGCATAAATAGAGGCAGAGTCCATTCTGAATTGGAAGGACTGCCTCTAGAGATGAGAAGGTAGGAAGCAGCTTGTTTTGATTTATGAGGCTAATTAGTTCGGGAGGTGGTGGAGTCTCCTTCCTTGGAGGTTTTTAAGGCCCGGCTTGACAAAGCCCTGGCTGGGATGATTTAGTTGGGAATTGGTCCTGCTTTGAGCAGGGGGTTGGACTAGATGACCTCTTGAGATCCCTTCCAACCCTGATATTCTATGATTCTATGATTCTAGTTCTTCTAATGTTCCTCACAGATCCATACATTTAATAATAGATTTTCTGGTTCCATAATAAATTTAAAAATAAGTAAGGCTTTCATGATCCTCACAAGAGTTATTATAGCTACCTGAACCCAAGTGACATGAATTTCACTATGCGGTACAATGAAATGAGCACAGGAGGCAATTGTTCATATTCCTGACTCCTGCATATCAACCAAGATCATGCTCATTTACTTTTCAAGGTCTTTGTTCCCTTGCAATTTTAATCATCTTTATCTCAAGTCCTCATGATGACTCTTTGAACAGTGTCTATCTTTATTAAGACTTTAATTCTGATTATGGGCCTTTCAAAATTGCTAGAAGTTGTTTTTACTGCATTTGCCTGCATCTGACAGATAAACTGAAACCCAGATATGGGACTTATCCTGACTAGGAATAATCAAGGTTTAAAAGAGTGTTACATACCATATCGACCTCAGAAATACTGTCCAAACTTTCAACCTGTACATCTACCCCAACAGGAATGGCAGGACCTGTGGTAGAATGAGATTTAGACATTTAAATACTATCCCTTTACATCATCTGACTTTAGTTACCTTTATAAAATACAGTAGTGTTCAAAACATTTTTGGTCCGATGTTGTAATTTCTTGTACCTGTGGTTCCTTGACGAGACAGCCAGAATAATAATCCCAATATCATTTTTTCCCCTTTGCATGTCTCCAACACTGACTCTACCTGTGTATGGCTCATCCATAGCAGGGGTGAAGCATTTTGGAAAGGTTCCTAATGCAGAGCCAGCCCATTATAAATCTTAGTTCTTTATAAAGAAATCCCAATGAAGATACAGGAAAATAAGAGGAAGAAACCACAATCCTTGAGATTTCACTTTGCTGATAACAAAAGGAATGGAAAAAAAACCCCTCACAATGTGACAAGCTCCATTCATCTTGTGTGAATTTTTGAGAGCTCTGTCATTTTCTGTTCTCAAATTGCCATGTGTTTCTTTGATTATTAAACAATAGTCACTTGTTGGAGACTACTTTTAAAAAGTTTTCAGTCATTCCAAAATGAACAGCCAGATACTGCACAAAGGATAAATAAGCATGAAATCATTCTACAATAAAAGCAAACTCCCTTGCTACTAGAAACTATACCATTTTCACAGTGGACAATTACTCTCATAGGGCCAATCCTGCTCATCTTACTCATGTTCCATTTTACACCCTATTTTTTAATAGATTTTTCTTTCTCCTCTTCTCTCATTCCTTTGTCCATTGTGGATAATCTCTCCTCTCCCTCCTTTTTCCAATCTCTCCTAAACTGAATTTGAATTCAAAGACGTTCAATCTGAATCAAACTTTCAGTATTCAGGTGTGCTTGAAGTTAGGTAAAAAGTGCTCACCTGTCCCTAATTTGAAGTTACTATCATTATGCAGTTGCTTTCGTTGTGCTTTAGAGAATCTGATGTTGTTACAAAGCCATATCTTGTAAGCTGTTCCAGGCAAGGACTATGACACCTCCGTGTTTGTATAGTACCTAGCTCAATAGGGGGTCTGGATCCTGATCTGTAAGTGCTACTTTTATATCAATATTAAATAATAATATAATGACATCATCATGAAAACTAATTCCAATAGCAAGCACTTTAAATAACATACATTTACCAAGACAACTAGAAAACCTCCGTTCTGAGAATGCAATAGGGCTTCTAGCTTGCAAGGTATCATCTACCCTACTGCCATTTCTGCTGTGGCACACGGACTCCAACGTCTGTTTGGGGGCAGGGGTTGGATAAAACATTGTATCCATTTCTGTTGTAGAAAAGGGGAGTTCACACACAGCAGCAGGTGCTTCAGTAGGATAAGTCAGCACAGTATCAGCAGGGCATGAATCCAGGCTGATTACCACGACTGGACCACCTGCAATGATATTGCCAGTTCTTTGACACATCCCACTGTGGTACAATACAGTGCAAGGGCAGGGTTAAAGGAGCACTGCAAGTGACATAGCTCACCTGTTCCATTTATATTGCTGCAGCCTGCTACAGTCTTCTGCATTCATGCAGTTTTTCAGTAGCCGTGGTGTTCTGGAGAAGTATAGCAACAGTCTGAGAAATATTAGCCTGACTGAGTTACTGAATGTGCTAACAAGGATTCCACCTTTGGACAAAAACACGTGAGGTGGAATTTCAAGTATGTATTTTGGGCTTGATCCTGAAAGGTGCTGAGCAGTCTGACCACAACCAGCAACTTACTTCAACATGTGCTTACCTCTAAGCATTAGAGTGGGCCCATTGAAGCAGAAGGTACTCTGCCCTGCCTACTGTGTTGAGGGGTTGCAGGTGGATCCATGTAGTTGTGGATCCACTAGCCACACATGCCACTCATTCCCCCTCCCCACAACTTGCCTTCCTCAAACACTTTTCATGATGCCATAGAGGAGCCCCTACAGATGACAGCTGCATGGGGTGAGGAATGCACAGCACAAGCTCCCCACAGAATCCCAGCTTGCAACTATACTGGTTTTCATAGAATCATAGAACTAGAAGGGATCTCAAGAGGTCCTCTAGTCCAGTCCCCTTCACATATGGCAGGACTAAGTATTATCTAGACCATCCCTGACAGGTGTTTATCTGATCTGCTCTTAAATATCTCCAGTGATGGAGATTCCACAGCCTCCCTAGGTAACTTATTCCAGTGCTTAACTACCCTGACAGTTAGGAAGTTTTTCCTAATGTCCAACCTAAACCCCCTTTGCTGCAATTTAAGCCCATTGCTTTTTGTCCTGTCCTCAGAGGTTAACGAGAACAATTTTTCTCCCTTCTCCTTGTAACAACCCTTTTTGTACTTGAAAATTGTTATCATGTCCCCCCTCAGTCTTCTCTTCTCCAGACTAAACAAACCTAATTTTTTCAATCTTCCCTTATAGGTCATGTTTTCTAGACCTTTAATCATTTTTTTTTTTGTTCTTCGCTGGACTTTCTCCAATTTGTCCACATCTTTCCTGAAATGTGGCACCCAGAACTGGACACAATACTCCAGTTGAGGCCTAATCAGGGCGGAGTAGAGCAGAAGAATTGTTTCTCGTGTCTTGCCTACAAAACTCCTGCTAATACATCCCAGAATGTTTGCATCTAGGTTGTATTTCCCTAGTTTGTTTATGAGAAGGTCATGCAAGACAGTATCAAAAGCCTTACTAAACCACTTCCCCCCCATCCACAAGGCTTATTACCCTGTCAAAGAAAGCTATCAGGTTGGTTTGACACGATTTGTTCTTGACAAATCCATGGTGACTGTTACTTATCACCACCTACTTTTGTTGTCTTATGGGCCCTGGTGATGGGGCCAGAGAGGATTTGGGTTTTATGAAGAGGGAGTCATTAAAGGTGGAAGAGCATGGCACAGATTTTATTCATACTTGAAGGTTTAAATGTGCATACAAATGAATAGAAACAACATAAGTGCCTAATGTCATTGGAATTAAGCAACTATGCAAGCCCAGTTCAGTCAGGGTATGGTGGTGAGGAGTCAAGAAGCCCTGTGAGCCCCAGTTCCCAAGCTCCCAGTCTCCCTAGCTCACCTGACAGGCTGCCACAGAGCCAGGAAGCCTGGGAAGGGGGCACAGGGAAACTTTTTAAATTCTGTTTTGGTTCTTCCAACATGACATTTTTTGAAAATGTCCCTCCCATGGGAAAATTTGCAGATCTGGTTTTTGACTCTGATTTGCAATTAATTTCTTTTTTTTTTCTGAATGAGAAATTTTCCACGGGAGGGAAATTCCAGTTCCTGCACAGCTGTAGTGGCAGCACTGTTCAGGGAAGCTCATCTGCCTCTTAGTGAGAAAATATCTTTGATGAAATCTCTGCATATGTGAAGGAGAACCCATCCCTGTATTAGAAACAGAGACAGTGACTGTGCAACTCAAGCATTTATTTTTGTATCAGAATCACCCCAGAATTCAAAATGCACTTAGAGTATAACTTTAATAGCTGACAAATCCCTGTCTAGCACAACGGGTGGTGAGTAGCTCATTTTCTTTGAAAACAAATGGGAAAAACTTCCCAGATTATCAATCTGCCTACATTAGACTTTAAAAGAAGACAGACGTGAGAAGATTAGTGAATAGACTGTTCTCTAGGTCAGTTACTCCCAAGCTGTGGTCTGTAGATACTTGGTGGTCCATGCAGAGCTGGCTCTCCTTGTTTCCAGCTGCTGCATTTTATTGAAGACAGATAAGAACATATAAAATTCTTTCTTAATATTACTTTCCCAATTGAGAGATTTCTTTAGTGGCTACCGGGATGTTAAGGTGAATGGGAGGTGAGGCAGCCCACAAAATTTAAAGTGAGAGTGGAGTTGTCCACACTATGAGTGCACATGTACAGGTTTTCCCAGTGTATGTTTTTCTGCCCCAGTGTAGGTCCACTGGTGGTAGTGATAGAAGCTGTAGAATAAGTGAGTGGCAGGTAATATTTCCATTGTTGCTACCATTGATGGAGCTGAAAAATGAATTTTCCTAATGTAGACAAGGCTTGAGAAATTGTTTAAGAACCCTTTCTCTAGGTCTACCTGTTTAATTAGTGTGGGCATTGTTCACCCCTGAAAAAACAGGACTAGCTGGCAAGTAGCAAATCAAATAAGTGCATGCTAGCTCAGAAGATCCCTACATCTTTTCTGATCCAACTGTAGCATTTGCCCACACACCAACCACTACATTTACTGTGGGCTGGGAAGGAATTCATTAGCGGGAGCAAACGTGGCACAATCACACCATTTTCTTTTCAGATCTATTTTCACTGTTTTCCTTTTTTAAGCTCTACTTCTTGTCATGTATTTTCCTTTGGTTTCCTTCACACTCTTTGAGGTGCTGCTGCTGACTGCTTAAGGCTGTTAAATTAATAGTTCACTACATGCGATCGGAACATGTGTCCACTAGAAAATATAAAAAGCAACAGAGGGTCCTGTGGCACCTTTAAGACTAACAAA